CCCAAATGGTCGCAAAATTCTCCAGACGTTCATCACCCCCAGGCAGATTTCGGCGCGACCAACCTGGGTTTTCGAGAAGAATTTGAGATTTGACGAGTAAAAATGGGATTTCAGCTACTAAAAATAGGGAATTCATGATTCATTTGTGATTTATGATTCATGATTCATGATTCATTTATCATTTATGATTTCTTCCTTTTCTATATGCTTTCTATAAATAGTGCTTTCTTTTGTATAGAAATTAAATTGGACATATCAGCAACACAACAGCCGCGACGTGTCCATTTTCAAAAAACAGTGATTCGAGGCACCCTTAAAAGCGGTGCCTCACAGGCCATCCACAGCCATCCATTCAGACATGCCATCCGAGTTTATCCCAAAATGGGAGAATGCCCAAGCTGTTTGGCTTTCCCCTACATACATCACTTTGGTGAAGTTTTGACGTCCATCTGTTCTGATATTAGTTCTGATATTAGTTCTGATCCTTTGAGGTCTGAAAGGTTAGTTGGAATTGGAATAAGTCTCATGAAGTTTCCGTTTCCCACGGAGATCCCCATGGGCCCCATGTTGCGCCTTGACTGTAGAGGTAGACTTCTTGAGGTCGTCGTCCCTTCCAGTCCCTCATGGCTTTCAACCTCTGAACATGTTGAAGTGACGGGTGTGAAGGGATGAATGGAATCACTGGGAAGATTGGACCGATTGGTCACTAGGATTCAGAAAGTCTGTTTGAAAACTACAAGATAGAACTTAAATTCGCTTAATTTCCGTTTGTTTCTTTGTTTACATGGCCAGAGAGAGAGGGAGAGCGAGACACACTTAATAACACACAGCTCGGTACAGCAATGCTTGAATGCAAATGATGATGTGTCCAAGGATCTCCCAGTTATATCACCTATAAATCCCTAAATCCCTATAAGTTCCCTTTTTTTCCGTTGATATTCCATAGAACTCCTAAAGCCATGGCTTGATAGAAAAGAAGAGTATATCCCAATTGATTACAGCGTATCCCTATAAATCCTCAATTTATTTTTTAAAAATTAATTATGTGGTATTTTTATTATGCCATAAGATTTAATTTTTATCCCTAATGAATTACTATTTGTATAGGTGGTATGGTTACCATTCCCAGTCATGGGTGGTAAACATGGCAGCCAGGGTTTACCCACATAGGTCACATAGGTCCCTCGCCTTGACACATCAGCATCCCAACGGCACAGGAAGCGCACAATCTGGCCTGGAAACAGGTGATATGGTGAAGATAGGTGGAAAAATGGTGGAAAGAATTTGTGATAGAATCTAGGATAGTCTAGGTGTATGTGTATCTAGGCAGGTATTCTAATAGATTGTACTAGCATTTTTTGTAAATGCGAATAGGTCAATGGCCATCATGAATTATTGATATCGGAGCCACCACATTTATGGAAAGGCACAGAGGCTTCGCCACCAAGGTGAAAACTCCAGCAAAGGCAGCTAAAGACACTACAACAGGTAGAACTACAGCTAGAGCTACTAGAAGTTACTACTACAAACACAACTGTAAAGACACTACAACTGGTCCTTTTTGTGTTGTCACATTGACCATAGGACCATAGCTGGTGATAGCCCCACCTGAATTTGCTCCGTTGGCACAAGCGATGTACAGCGCGTTGTGCTTCAATCGGTCCTCCAGGGCCGTTGGATTCCAGGAGTTGGAGTCCCTCCGGTGGCTTCAACAAACACATTTTGGCCATCCCAGTCCTCTGCATAGCAGTCCTCAGTGCAAGGGGTCGTGGTTGCTCGTGGTTGCCGGGAGGCATACATCCCAGCCTAGTGACCTAGTGCAAGAAACTCTGGTTTTAAGAAGACTTTCAAATCAAAGGCTCAAAGGATCTTGTAGAAATGGATCCACTACATTCCGAATGAGACCCCGGGCAGATTTACATTCACACAATGGGGTTAAACCAATAATAAACCATCCGTTTGGGAATGCTTCATACCACCTATTTATATCTATTCATGGTGATTTGGGGGATGGTTTATGGCATTGTTTTACTCACATTACCCTCTGGTAAACTAACATAGCTATGGAAAATCACCATGTTTAATGGGAAAACTCACTATAAATGGCCATTTTCAATAGCTATGTTAGTTTACCAGAGGGTACTACAAATCCTGTAGTGTTTACTCATCATCGGCCACCAAAGTCACCCAAACTACAACTGGGTAATGGGTCGAACTTGGAGTACCAAATTTGGATGGTCCAGCAATGCAATGGCACATCCCCACACCCTGTGAGCCAAGAAAAATACCTCTATATACCCCTTAAAAAAACCCTATCATCCCTAGTTCGTTGATAGGTATCCCCAATAGACCCATCAACCGTCGTTCAGCAGTTTTATTTCATATCTGTGATAGACAAATACCCCAGAACCCCCTATAATTATCTATAATTGATTGTTAAGTCATCAATAGTCATCATTTATCAGTAATATGTCATATCTGATTTCACATCTTTGATACTTCACAACCCCTTTTACCCTCTGGTAAACGTTTACATAACTACGGAAAATCACCATGCTATCAATGGGTAAATACACTATTTCTATGGTCATTTTCAATAGATATGTTGAATTACCATAGAATATCTAAAAAAAACACCAACGACAAGTCCTTGTGAAGTCCCATCTTCCCAACGACGTCGCCCAGTTACAGCACCATGGCGCAGCAACCACACCACGCCCGCAAGGGAGCCGGCACTGCACGAGGCCAACAACGGCGACCTGGGCGCCGTGTAGTGCCGTGTAGTCGCCACGTGGCGTGGCAACGAGTCGGGGGAGTGTGATCCATTAACTGGCTAATATTATTACCCTCTGGCTATTTAACATAGCCATGGAAAATCACCATTTTTAAGAACGGTAAACCTCTATAAATAGTCCATTTCCCATGGCTATGTTAAATAGCCAGAGGGTAGATTATTGATAAATCAATATATTCAATCATGCTATTATCCAATTAGTTGGATTATCCAATCAATATTATCCAATCAATAATCCATATATACAATCAATAATCCAAATAATCCATAAGAGTTGTCATAAATGGATCAAACTCACTAAATGTTAGATACTTGGTTTATCTAAGAGTTATAATATGTTATAATCGACTTGAGTCACTGGTCTAAAACTATATCAGTTGAAAGGCAAGGAGTTATGATTTCCACTCAAAGTCATTGGTTCATATCAGTTGGCATAGATATACTGGAATATTGGTTTATTGGTTTATATATATATATTCCCAAAGTTCAAACGGTTCACTCCTTGAAACTATAGTTGAAAATAAGGACATCATTCAAAATATGCAACATATATCAAACTATTCAAAATCAGTGAGGTCCGATTGAGGTCCTTATTTGTTGCAGGATCTTCAGTTGTTGATCCCTTTCTCCTACAGCCTATAGCGAATATGGATGAAGCCAAGGTCTCTACAGTCCTTGATCATCTGGCTGGTCGAGATCAATCGCAGCCATCTGGGCGATGCGGCGATGCGGCGAGCGCAACTTACACCGTCAAACATCGGTTGGATCTGCCAGGAATTTGGTTGGAGAACCTTCTTTAGTGGAGCAAATCGTCTTGGATTCCATCCTCTTTTTTCAAAGATTTTTGAAGTAAGATTCAGTAGTATACCCTCTGGTGATTTCACGTAGCGAACTGGAACATCACCATTGTTTCAGAACAGTAGAGCATCATGTTGATCATCGAACGCACTGGCCATGGCTTCCAGTTCGCAAACTGAAATTACCCGAGATAATTCTAGAGGCTAATAAACATTACCCATAGGATCCATGGTGCTGGTATATATGCTAACATAAAGGGGGTATATTGATGGGATCCATGTTACCATATGTACCTGTGAATGATCCAACTTCACCTTGACACATGCACGTCAACAGTACAGGTGCCGTGGATTTGCGGCTCAAGGCCCACGGATTTCGCTTCTTGGAAAAGCACATGGCGTTTGGAGGCGGCGGTGTCGCTCCAGCATTTGCATTCGTTTGATCTTTTGGTTGCACCATCAGCTTCTACCAGTTCACATTGGTAGCGGAGGCACCCGGGGGGCTCGACAATACCCCGGGACGGTCCAGGACAAGGACATTGGCAAGAGGAGGAGACTGGTGGTGCGTCATTAGCAGTTGCTTTCGATGCCTGCCCCAACGCCTTTAGGTTCGGGGATGGATGAGGAAAGTGGTGATGGGGGCCCTAGCAGTGCGTCAAATTCTGGGGATGCTACTCATGAGGGGCAACGGGAAGTCATCAATAACTCATCTGGACCATGGACTGATGCAGAATGGGATGAATGGATGGCTAGGAGAAGAACATGGTACTCTTGGCCCCCAACAACTACTACCCCCTCCGGTGGTGATGGTTCAGCTAGCCGTGATGCTTTTGTTTCTAGCGACCCATGGCAGTCCCAGGGTGACCCTTGGGGAGCAAGCGCAAATCGTGAAGATGACCGTATGGGGGGTAGTGACAAAATCAGCGTGCCTGAATTCTCAGGTGAAGATGACAAAGATGGCATGGTGACCCGTGGCTATCTTCGCAAGGTGGCAGCTTGGAGAAGAATGACAAGGTTGAGGCCAAACAAACAAGCGCTGGCCTTGTACAACAACCTCACCGGCAGGGCATGGAGGGATGCTGAGGAGCTCGACTTAGCCTTGTTGGATAGTGTGAATGGGGTTGATGTCTTCACTCAATGGGTTTCCGAGAAGTACCTGGACAAGGAGGTTGTCAAGGTTGGCAAATGTATGTTGGAGTTTTTCAAGCACCTCAAAAAGGGGTATGGCCAGGAGATTCGCGACTTCAACCAGGAGTATGACAGGCAGGTCTCACGTCTTAAAGAAGTTGGTTGTAGCCTCCCTGACTTGTGCTTGGCTTGGCTCTATGTGGACAAGCTCCGTCTTGAGATCTACTGGGAATAAGTATGAACTCTCCAAGCTTCAAGATGCTGCTGTGATCCAAGATCGCATGAACCGCCGTCTTTGGGAACCTCGAAAGTACGGGGACAAGGACAAAAAGGGTTCACACCATGCCCATGTGACTGAGAATGCGGAGGCAGAGGAGGATGACGAGGGCGAAATGTCTGAAGGTGAAGAGGAGATGTTCCCTGAAAGCGACGAGGAGACCCAAGAGGCCTATGTCACCTTTCAGAACGCAAAGTCCAAGTATCAGGCGCTGCTCAAATCTCGGGGCACCGCGACGAACCAGACTAGCAAAGAGGATCGAATCAAACAGGCCAAAGCCCGTTCATACTGCTCAGCATGCAAGCGTCGAGGACATTGGCATCGAGACCCTGAGTGCCCACTCTACAAAGGGAACAAAGGTCCTGCTCAACCTGCTCAGGTCTCTCACGTTTGTGAGGTCTTTCATGCTGGCCGCGTCGAGAATGCCGAGATCGTTGCGATCACAGACAGTGCCTGCAGCCGCTCCGTGGCTGGAAGTGAGTGGATCAAGCGCCTTCGTGAGAATGCATTGGCCAAAGGCCATCACTTTGAAGTAGTCCCACAACATGAGCAATTCAAGTTTGGTGGAGACAAACTGTTTCTGTCAAAGAAAGCTTGGTGTTTTTGGCTGAACTTATGTGGAAAGTGGTTTATTTTGAAGGTGTCTGAAGTAGATGCCGATGTGCCCTTGCTTTTGAGCCGTCCAGCATTGGCTCAGCTGGGCATGCGATATGATTTGCCAGCCAATGTGGCATCCTTTGGAGCACTTAATTTGACTGAGGTGCCTTTGCAAACCACTATGACCGGCCTCCCAGCTGTGCCGGTCGCTTCCAGTTCTAGCCCTGCCCCACGATGGCCAAAGGGCATCAAGTGGGACCTAGTTGAGATCTTTGTACTGTCCGAGAAGGTGGCATACATGGTGCGTCATGCGGGTGATGTTGTGGAAGCCCCCAAGAAGCTGTTCTACCCCAAGAAGATTGATCCTATGGTTATGCACAATCTATCTGCTGAACATCTTTGCCCAGAATGGTTTCAGGGTTGGTGGCGCGAAAACAAAATTTTGAGGGATTTTTGGATTGAGGGTGACTTCTACATCGATCGCATACATGTCATTCCCAGAAGAGATCCTTTTGATCCTCGAGATTGGCAAACAAGTGATGGTGGTTTGAAAGAATGTCTTCTGATTTCCCTCGGCGACACACGCATGAGTACATGTATACCCTGCACTTCATCTGGAAAGCCGTTCATGATGTCAAATGCTTGGAGGTTTGAGGTCAAGGTCAAAGGACAACAACTTTGGATTGGACAAAGCCGTTTTCTTAGGCCTCAAGTAGCTGGCGCACTTCAATCACGTTCACCTGGGAGCCCAAACCCAGGTGATGTCCAAACCTGCCTCGGTATGGAGGATGCGGCGTGCGGAGCTTCTAGAAGCCTTGATCGACATGAACGTGAAGTACGACCCAAGCATGACAGTGCCGGAGCTGAGGTCGATCTACATGGAGGCCCGTGGACCTCAAGGGAAAACTGGCTTGGGGTTGACAAAATGCAGTGTCGACCAACTGAAGGAGCGGTGCTTGGAGGAGGGATTGGAGATACCACCAAAAGCTACACAGGGTCTTCTGATGAGGATGTTGCGCTACAGCATGGAGACCACGGGAGACAGCGAGGTGACCTTTGGGCAGTACAAGAACTACTTGTTCAAGGAGGTGCCGAAGGACTACTTGGAGTGGGCCATCAAAGAATGGAGCACGTCCAGCCAATGCAGCCCCGACTTCGCTCGTCTGGCTCGATGGGCCGATCGCCAAAAGCAGGGAGTTGGTCGCTCTCAGGGCTATGGAGCCAAGTCCTCGAAGGACCCGGAGCTGACGGCCAAGACCAAGCCACCACCTGTGGCCCACAATGTTCGTCCTCGTGCACAGCCCAAGGAGAAGAGCGTGACACCGGCGCGAAAGTCAAAGACCAGGCCATTGGAGGAATCCGACGATTTCTCTATGGTGTCTTCGGTGGACGGCCCCATGTCTACAGAGGAGGAGATTCACGAGCTGCAGGAACGCCTCAAGATCCTGCAGACTGTCAAGATGGCAGAGGATGCTGCAAAGACCGCTGTGCCGAGGGATGGAAGTTTGGAGAGTCAGTGAAAGCAAGTGGCTATGAAGATGTGAGCGCCTTCGGCAAGGGCACTGACTTCAAGGATGTGGGGGAATCATCACTGGCCTATGTGACTGAGTATAACCAGGTTTTCAGCTATGAGGTGGGCAGGGTTCCACACTATGAGACTGAGTATAACTTGGTCACTGATGAGCCCTACGGCAAACATGTTCCTGAGACGCTTGAGCCCGAGCTCGTCGATGGTGGTGACTATGAGGCAGCCCAGAAGCTGTTCAGGGATGAGACGTGCCGCAATCTCAAGAAGAAGGTGAAGTCATGGGCGGCCAAAGTCATGATTGCTTTGGCAACTTTGGTCGCCGTACGGGCGTTTCCTTTGCACGCTCCTGCACCTCACCTGATTCCCAATGCTGAGGATGTGGCGAATTCCAACAAGTACCACTGTCGTGAATTCCTTGGGATGGAGTCGCCTCGTACCAAATGGAGTACGTGGCAACATTTAGACCGCCACGGCCAAGAGCAAACTTTTGGGTTTGTCCAACAAGATGTTTTGGGAGATAGCCATCTTCGAAAATTCACGACATGGATCTACTCTCATGGAGTATATCATGGTGATCTTAGCTGTGCTGTCAAAGTGATCATGTGCATGCTCCAACAGATTGTCGTGACACCCGTGCCGCAGGTATCTACACCTACGAGTTCTGCAGAGCTGTGGTGGGATGCTACCAGTCCGAGATCGTGCCCAGATGTTGGACGCCTTTCCCTGCCATTGGAGATGGGGAGCTCAGCGATGCCTATGAACCTAGTACACTCTTGCTGGGATTGGGTATCTTCGTAGGTGGTAGTGCTGTCAACATGGAACCACATGAACTACATGATAGAGTACATGGCGGTGATCAACATGCTTTTCATGGTGAATTTGTAGGTGATGACCACGTGCAGATCGACTCCCCAAGTAAGGAATATATGCCGGCTGCAAACCCTTTTCACCTACATGTAGACAAACGTTCTGCTCAAATTCTATCCAGGTGGAAACGACATCAAGGACACCTTCGACCTCCTGACCATGCACGACGTCTTTGTCTCGCAGGCATTGGGATGGAGGGGCGTGAGTTGCTGGCTGTACCACTGCTGGGCGGACCTCTGAGCGATGATGCTGTGAGGGGCGTAGTTCCGATAGTTTTTCTGATGATTTGCAAGCCTTTTTCCGGCTTGATCCATTGGGTCAAGGAGCAAAACGCTCCTTTTGTGAAGAGGTTGATGATTGAATGGGCAGTGCTGGAAGAACTTATTTCATTTGTTTTAGCTATGGCTGCCGGTTGGGAAGTTGTTTTCGAAGATCCCAGGATGATGCGCTGGGTCCCAACTCAATTTCAATCAGCGAGCGTTCCCCGTCAAATTAAAGACTGATGTACAAACTTGGTGGGACATGCTGCACAACCTCCAATTATCTCATTTCCGTGTCAAGGTGAACTTTAAACGTTGGGTGTGTGAATGATCCAACTTCACCTTGACACATGCACGTCAACAGTACAGGTGCCGTGGATTTGCGGCTCAAGGCCCACGGATTTCGCTTCTTGGAAAAGCACATGGCGTTTGGAGGCGGCGGTGTCGCTCCAGCATTTGCATTCGTTTGATCTTTTGGTTGCACCATGAGCTTCTACCAGTTCACAGTACCATACATGGATCCTATGGGTTATAATAAACATTAATAAACATTAATTAATAAAATTATAAACATTATAAACATTATAAACCCATAATAACCAGATAAACATTATATAATAAACATTAATAAACTCATGTGAGAGACCCCTGGCATCCCATGGCTTTCGGCCTCTAGCAGCACCTCCAAACAGCAAATGTGGCCATTGGACCGCCAATTCCCCTCCTGACAAAAAAAGGGATCCAACATGAGAAACAACAGAAACAACCACAAAACAGGATCAAAGATCACGGACTTGGGATATCTTGGGATACTTGCGTTGAGATTTTGAAGTCCGTGTAAAACATGAAGATGTGATGATAGTTGCCATTCTGCGTTTTCGAATGGAAATTCAGCTCCAATCGGAATGAAACATCCTGAGTCCACAGCACTCCTTCTTCCTCCCACCATCGACCAGCCATCGTGGATTTTCTTCGTGGTTTTTCTGTCGTGGCCAACCCTCCATATCCTTCAATGGACATTGTTTTTGGATGTGAATTGATCTCTACACTCCTCCCAGAAAGTGGATTCTTTGTTTTGTTTGAAATCATGTTGACCAAATGTGGTGGTTTCAACACGTTCAAACTATCTCAACTCGTTGAAACAGCCATGAGCCAAGCTTTCGCCAACATCCCAGCCCTGTCCTTGTCCGCCCCAGCTGCCCTTGCGGCCAAATAGGTTGGGGTTCGCCCCATCAGGGAGTTCATAGAAGTCACCTGCGACCAGAAACGCACACGAGGAAAGCCCCGAAAGCCCCGAAAGCCCTGTCCGGAACCAGGGATTTTTAGAGCTGGAAGAGTGCCTGGAGAACGGGAAAATTTATGGAGCTTGGCAAATATGGGAACACCATGGAAAATCACCTACAACGGTTTATGGTCGGGACAATCATCTAACATCATCTAACGAGTTTTGGGGAATTTTCCAACATGCCATGGAAATGATTGGGGGGCATGTGTGGCCCATGTTCATCATCCCAGTTGGGCTTCCCCATCTTGACCTGAAGATCAGCTAGGCCCACGTTGTGAGGCAAGCGTGGAACCTGCGTAACCTGCGCTTGTGGGCACTGGGTCAACATGTGTTTGTCGCCTTTCATCATTTTGGGTTTGTAAAGGGTGAATCTTAACATGTCTTAACATGTCTTAACCACGAATGGGAGGTGAATCTTAACCATTCTAATTTCTTGCTGGTAGGAAAAGATTAAAGTACTAAAGTATCTAACAAAGATTGACCCAGATTGTATTTAACCATCTATTCTATTCTAGTATTGACAGGTTCACCTTTGAGGGCTGAATTTTCATTGCAGAAGCCAGCCCCATTCTGAATGGATATCAAGATATGTAACGCATCCGAACGCCGAACACATCAAAGTGTGCTGTACACTTCTCAACTTCTCTCTTCAAATATATCTAACCATCTAAAAGCCGTGATCTCACCAACAGGTTATATAAATCTGTAATCTTCTATTGGACCTTGCATGATTTCAGACCCTATCCCTAAATTGCCCTAAGCGCTTCCGTGATTTGAAAAATCAACCCGTGGCCATCTTCATTGTATCGATAGCGATACTGAAACCAAGTTATATAACAGGTATTACGTTGGCAGTTACCCTCTGGTAAACGTTTACATAACAATGGAAAATCACCATTTTTAATGGGTAAATCAACGATTTCTATGGCAGCTATTGATGGTCCCTAAAACCTTGAAATGTGGTCATCGAACAGCCACTGTCACTGTCAGAAACTGCCCATCAAACTCCAGGATTCCAAAATCCACCAATTACCCTCTGGTGAACTAACATAGCAATGGAAAATGGCTATTGAAATAGTGGATTTTCCCATTAAGAATGGTGATTTTCCATTGCGAACTGTTAGTTCACCAGAGGGTATATATAACCACAGTGAATTAATCCAATATTTCTTGGGTTTTTGCTCAAAAACCAAGAAATATCCCGAATTCTGTGAGTTGGAAGCGCGTTGTCCCGATTGAAATTGCCATGAGCCATGAACCGAGGAAACATCTGCAACTTTGGGACAAACCCATACTAGTATCATAATGCTGGTTATGTATACCACACAGTGTGTATGAATATATATATAGTGCAAAATAATTAGATATATACTATATACATAGTAGTAGAGTACATATATTTACATGTATATACAACGTATAGAAATCACATCCCAAGGCGTGACGCACCTCCGCCGACCGAGGTGAGCGAGGCGACCTTGCAGATGGCGGCAGGCGTGCGAAACCGCCTGTGGAAACCATGGTTTAATAGACCATAACAACATCATGTATATGTATACATACATATATATATATATGTATATATGTACACGCAAAACATACATATCCATATATAGTGTCATGTAGGTATGATATGGTATAATTATATCATAGTAGTACATATTATAATCATATAGTGCTTCCCCATCAATCATCTCATATCCCTGTGGATCCGGCCGTCTCTTCTTAGGAAGTGTTTGGATCTATAGGGTATACACAGACATGAGCATATATAAATGCACACATAGAGCATGTGGACATACAACTATAGATACATATTTAGAATACATATTGTATACATCTATACATATATATATATATATGCGTATATATATATATATAAACCCTCTGGTAATTTAACATAGCTATTGAACATGGCCCATAGAAATAGTTGATTTACCTATTAAAGATGGTGATTTTCCAGATCGCAAACTGTTAGTTTACCAGAGGGTATGTACATATGTACGTGCAGATTTCCTTCGAAGCAGGGCCCCAAAATGCCCCGAAACCATCCAAGTTCCTGGTCACTTTTCAGGTGAAAAACCCACGGAGTGCCTTCATCAAAGCCCCGCAATCACAAACCATCACCCATTTTTACAAGAAGTGATTGCTACTGCATCTCCAATCCGAGGTCTCTCGTACGAAGTGATTGCAACAGTCAGCAAAACAAAGTTTGACTCACCAAAAAGATATAAAAAGATAGGGATTTGTTATAACAGTCCTCATACATTCTCTTAAGATGCTATAAAACGGGGGTACATCCAACATTTCCAAACAAAACCCACACCATAGTGTCGGCTATGTCCTATTGCATTCCCATCATATCCCCATTTGATGGTCATTTTTAGTATCCCCTATTGTGGGACAAGGGCATATAATGAACTACTCATATCCAGCAACTGTATTAATCAACTAATCATAATCTATCAAAATATTATCATCACAATCATAGTCCCATTATGATTGCACTTATATACTTATACAGTATCCATCCCAACTAGATCATTATTAACTTTAACAGTATTATTGCCGGATAATATTGGTTGACCACAGTAAAATTCTGGCTCCTAGACCCCAATTATACACCGGATTATAATTCAGGTTAAATCATAGCTCATTGACCTCAAATAACACCATTTTGGGGATTACAAGGAGTTATACCTGGTTCCTGGGGATTCTCATGGCCCATAGTGAGGAAACCCATCAACCAACATACATGGTCAATCTTTCGTAAGTCACAAAAAAAAACATCTTTTGCTGGTGATGCTTATTTTCATTTATTTTCCATTGATAGAAAACAACTAAAGGATTAGTTTCTACCTGTCAAGTCGGTTGGGGATGCCCAGCTTCACCGACTCGCTGGGAAGCTCCTCAGATGGTGAGATCGATGTGACGTGGATAAGTGCTACCACTTTTTCTGCCCAAAGAAGTTCTTTACGAAGAACACGTGTCTGACATCATCTAAGTTAGTATATCATAGTATATCTTTGTATCTACAAATACGCCCAAACTCGCTTGCTATGGAGTTTCCTGCATATTTTCCGCACAAATCAAAGAATCAAAGAAGACTATGAATGATGATACCTGTACGATTCCAAATTTTGCATGCAATTCATTGCAACTGCATGCAACTGCCACATTTCATTGGTGAAGGTTTGAGTTGATTCTTTGATCTGGGTGAAGAAATCCAGTGTTTCTCTCCACATCACGGAGGTGCAAAGGGGCTGTCGTGGCTGTCCTTGGAGCCCTTGGAGCCCAGGGATTTGGGTCGGTTCTCCTGGTGCGGCTTCACATTGGATATCGGTCACCTTTCTGGCATTTCAGGGTGACCCGGCCTCTAAGAATCAATGATTTATTCTGGTTTATTTGATTTGTCCGGGTTCAAAGATTCAGGCCCTAAGAATCAAAGATTTTAAGTGCTTCTTCACCGTTCTTCTTTTTGGTCAGCGTTCTGACCCATGCCATAGCCAAGTTGAAGCATCTGCGAATGCTTCAAGTGTTGAGCTGCTGAGACAGTGCAGAGTTTACGACCATGAATTTTCCCGCCCTGAATCTGTCATTTGTCATTTGGGTAGGGGTCAAATTTGCCGTATCTTTTTGATTCACGTCCATCGCCCATCTGAGCAGTGTTCAAAACCTTGTGTAAGTACGGGATT